AGGGAGGTCATCTGAGCTGCCACTCCCAAGAAGGATATCTGCAGCTGATGTTTTGCAATATTCTAGTGTGCTACCGTGTCTTCAACCAGAATGGGCTCTACTTAAATACATGGGATTTGGAGTCAGAGCTGTTTCAGCTTCAGGTCATGTCTAAGATCTCTGACATTAAATATTTTAGATATTATAGTCCCTGGATCCTCTGACTTTCCTATGCTATCTAGTAAACAGGACCATCTGACCATTTATGGTCTTCGAATGCTTTTCACCTTCCTCTTAGTTGCATCAGGATCTAATCATTTAGTTGTTAAGCAGAACATAGGAACCAAGGTTCCTTGTGTTTCAGTATTTTGAAATAACAAAGAATAACATAATGCCTAAGGTCTTAAAGGTCAACGGTAGGAGATAAACACACCAAGAAAAAAGGTGGCAAGTGACATGCAAATGTATCCCCTCTCTTTTATCTATCCCCACCCCTTAATATACAATTTGAGTCCTTAGTGTTATGTTGGGGCAGAGCAAAAAATTACAAGTAGACTGTATAATGATGGAGGAAGGGGTATCTTGGTTATGTATGTCTTGGTCAAATATAGCAAACCCTTGAAATAAGTTTAAAGCTATACACAAAGCTAACTCCCTGATAGAGCTAAAATTTCCCAAGTTAGCACAACATACACTAGTCTATCTCCTTTCAAATTAAGTTGGTCGCCCCAAGGAAACTTCCAAAGTATCCCTTTATGGAATGATGCCTTAGGAACTGGCATTCATAGTGTTTTGAGTTAAAATGATGGTCTATGAATCACTAAGTAGCACCAATGCTATGCAATATTTATATACAGAAACTAGAACCCTTTCTAGCACTACCCTTTTCTTGAAAAAAATATTCTTCCCCAAATTACATAAATGGCAGATTTCCTTACTTCCTTCAAGCTTCCCCTCTCCCCTTCGCACCCAAATGCTGCCTGTTCAAATGAGGCTTCTCTAATAACCCTGTTTAATTCTATACCCTGAGCTGACCCCCATCACAGCATCCCAGAAGCCTCAATCTTTCCCTGGCTCAATTATCTTACTTTTTCTACAGCTCATACAAACATAGTTTATTTAATGTATTATATTTACTTGATGTATCTTTACTAAAATTTAAGTCCCATGATGAAAAGGGAACTATATTTTATTCTCTGATGTATCCCAAACACTTACAACAGTGTTTGACACATAGAAAGAGCTCATTGTGTATTTACTGAATGAATGAACATGTGTCCTACAGCAAAGATGGTAGAAGGATAAAAGCCAAACCACATTCTAAGAGAGTTTTAAGAAACACTATGAAAAGTCATAGAAATGTACATTTACCTGCTGGAGAGAAATTTGGTGAATGAAATTGCTTGATGCATATGAATTGGTCATGAATTCTGGGAAAGGAAAAATAGGCATTTTTGATACCTAATAGATTTTTGCTCCCATTTCTCTTATTCACAATGAATTTTAATCACCAATGTCAAAATAGAAACAAGTCTGTAGACAGCTTTTATTCTTTCCTGTGGTAGAGGCCACAGCTCAGATTGCAGACAAACAAGAATGTCAGCCAATGTTAATTGTGTTGCTGTTATGTATGCCTTGTCCTTTTACCACCAAATGGAATCTTTAATTAGCACAACGTTCTCCCTAGAAACATTGATTGGTATTCAGGGAATTTTCAAAGATTCACTTTTCCTGCAAATTCACTATTTGAAAAGGTTTTAAAAAAATGTCAAACTCACCCTGGCCAGGTAGCTAAGTGGGTGAGTGTCATCCTGATACACCAGGGATATGGGTTCAATCCCCGTCCAGGGACTGTACAAGAATCAACAAATGAATGCATAATTAAGTGGAACAACAAATCCATATTTCTCTAAATAAATAAATAATTCTCTTCTAAAAATTTAAAGTAAATAAAAAATGTCAAGTTCAGTAACATCATCAAGTAGCAGAGCTAGGGGGCCAGGTTCATCACCAATATAATGTTTCAGTCTCTATTTTCAGATGTCGAGGTACAATGAAATGAAGATCAATAGAGAAATTCATATTGGGTACATATTGAATAATTTCCATCCCCATTTGGGGGGATAAATGATACATATGAATACATGTATATGTTTATATACACCCATATCTTGGTGTGTCTTCACTGTGAATATCATGAAATTTTCGTTTAATGGAAAGAATACTAACTTCAGAGCCACATGTTCTTCAACTTGAATCTGAACAATACCAATGTATATTCCTTTTACTCTCAAAGTTTGCCTTTGGATGATAAACTGTGTTATTCTAAAAGATCTTTACAGAATCTCTGACTTTGTAAGTCTCAATGAGTGCAGTAACTATTTAACAAATATAGATGAAAGTCAACTTTCTTTGCAACCTCAGGAAGGCACCACCCTGACTTCAAAGAGAATTGTAATAGTTATCAACAAAGAAGGAAAAGTGGAGTAATGTCTATAAATCAAAAAAAATGTTTAAAATATCTGGAAGACATCATTTCTTCCATGAAAAGAATGAAGAAAAAAGTCATCAATATCAAGATCAACACTGAAACCAGATTCAATTCCTGGAAGTTCACCATTGGGAACCTTTCTGAATTTTGCCTCCATAGGGGGAAAAAAGATTTCCAAATTACCCACAATTAATTACCACAGTATGCCTTATATGGAAAGAGAGATTCTCCTTCTGAAGGAAATCAGAATACCACAAAATAGCAATAATAAAGGTCACTGTTCTCACTGGGACTAACAATTTACATATCTGGTATGTAGCTTTTTAACCTTCAACACAGGCAGCATAAAGGGAAAGGGAGAGAGAAACATCACTGATGAGAGAGAATCATCAATCAGCTGCTTGCTGCACACCTGCTACTGGGTGGGAATCAAGCCCACAACCCAGGCATGCGCCATAACAGGAATTGAACCGTGACCTCCTGGTTCATGGATTGAAGCTCAATCAATGAGTAACACCAGCTGGGCTAAAGACTTAAATATCTTAGAGAAATTGTACAGTTTGTCCAAGGACACGCAGCTAATAAGTGATGGTGATGCCATTTTAATCCAGATCTATCCAACTTCAAGGACAGAGATCCCAGGTTTTATGCTGTTTCCAATACCATGCTTTGCCCCAAAATTAGTGATTTGAAAGATAGGACATGTACTCAACAAAACGAGGGAAAATTCTGTGAGATAATATCTTAATCTGTAAAGAATCATGAAATGCACCTACTGTCTGCTTTTGAGGTAAAAATAATCAGAATTTAAGGGGTCATTATAAGGACAGAAAAAAAGGCCTCTCCTTTTCTTTGCTGTGGCCTTTCCACAATTTATGAGAAGCACCTGGTAATTAAGTCCCAAGATTGTTAGCTCCTCAGTGCAAACTGTAGAACAAATTAAGACTACTCTCAAGGTTGCATTCTTGTATCCCCCTCCACCCTGCTGTTTTAACAACTCCAAGATAATTTGCACCAAAGACTCTCCAGTTAATAGAAAGTTCCCTTCTCCCTCCCCTTCAGACAAGCCTCTTTTGAACTCTTCATAATATTTTCTCTAAGCACGTTTTACAGGCTTGAAAAGGAGTTGATAAAGAGACCACCCTAGGACATTTGCTGGACTGTCTCCTGGAAAGCAAACTGAAACTTTTCAACACAACCCCCCCCCCATCTGATTAACTTCAACACAATTACCCTCTCTTCTTTATCACCTAGCAATAGCAACTGGTTGCTCTTTAAAAGTACAAGCCTGCCCTGCATTGAGTAGCAATACACCAGCCCTTTCCTCCTTGAAAAGTAAAATAAATTTCCTCTCTGCATCTGTTCTCTCAGTTGTTAATTCTTTCACTGCCATGTCATTGCCCCTACCCTAACAGTCATCATAATAAAAACATGAGCAATCAGCATGTAAAGAGTATGCTAAATCTACACTGATATCAATGGGGAGGCATAGGAAGTGAGTAGCTAAGAATATGACAAGAGAAACTGGCCCCCCTCTTTACCCTCACCACCCAATATGCACATCATTTCAGGTTTAAGAAACAGCCAGGTCCATCAAAACACCTATTGAGTTTGTAACCCACTACCCTCCCCATATCGACATGTGATTTATTTCTACAAGAAGCTATTTGTTTTGCCTCATTTCATTTTTGCTGGGAAAATGATTCTCATATCTTAGAAACTATAGGACAGGTCTATCTCAAATACCTGCAGATTTAGCAGATCTACTTCAGGGCAGCTGTCTAATAGGAGTTACCATAAATCCATCCCAAACCCACTCTGAACAACCAGCCATGAATGATTTCTGTGATTATCAGACTGGGCCCATCATGAGCCAAAACACAAAGAAAAATACACTGGAGGTCTTGCCCAAGGGCTATGTAGCCAGAAAAATATAACCAATATCAAGATGTTAAAATATAGCTATTAATAGGTGGTAACCTTATGTCCAACATCCTCTGGCTCCTGGGGGATGTAATAGAATACCACAGGATGGCAGTTAGGTCTGGAGGCAGAACTGAATTAAAAAATGGGTACTCCCACTCATTAATTTTATAACCTCAAGGATTATTTAATTTCTCTGAGCAGTCATGTCCTCACTTGCAAAATGAAGATACTCGGAATGGTTTCTTAGGTTGTTAAAAGTGTTAGGCATAACATATCAGGTAATGATAACTAGCAGTCATTGAGCATTTATTATGTGCCAGGTGATGAATGAAGTACTGCTAGTAGAGATATAAACTAGACACTAAAATTTAGTCAGTTGCTGAAATTCACATAATTAGAAAGTCACAGAAATAGGATTGGAACCTAGAGAATCGGTATCAAAGCCCATGCTCTTAACCTACTGTGCTACACTAGCATGGAACTCTGCATATCCAAGACTCAACACATATGAGTCATGGATACTGTTGTTATTGTAACATCCCTAAATCACATAACATGAGGTTTTATTGAAACCTGAATACTCACACCACAGGACGCACAGTACCTGGGACACAGCTGCAAACTTTCTCCTTCAACAATGCAGGCCTGTTTCTCCAGAAGTTCAGGGCACTCCCTTCCACCTCCAATAGCAATGTGCTTCACATTCCGGCTCCTGCCCCTGAATCCCGGCGAGAGGCTCCCTGAACGACACGTCTTGGAGCAGGGACCCCAGGAGGACCACTCGGTGGTCTCACAGTCTTTCGGCATGATGCAGGACTGGACAGTCAAAGGGAAGGAGTCTTTCATGCAAAGGCTAAAGGGACATAAGCAGAAACCAGTCAGCCCCCGATTAAACCGATGCAACCAACACTATGAAGTGCCTATAATTAAAGAAAAAAATTGAAATGTGGTTTATGTGTTCACATTTGAGGATTTAAATAATGTTAGAGGCACCATGATAAAAAATGGAAGGATGTGCATTTAAAAAATGCACACTCTCTTTCATTTGAAACTGAACTTATTTCGATCTAGCAAGACACATATGTAGGTGAGTATATCTTATATTTATAATGCAGGATCGTCTAAGAGTTTCACCTAGGAGATAGCCTACAGTTACCATTTATTGACTTGTCCCCAGGTGGCACACACTGCTGCACTTCACAGGCACTTCCACAACCTTATGAGTTCACATATTTTTTTAATATATTTTTATTTATTTCAGAGAGGAAGGGAGAGGGAGAGATAGAAACATCAATGATGAGAATCATTGATCGGCTGCCTCCTGCACGCCCCCTACTGGGAATCAAGCCTGCAACCTAGGCATGTGCCCTTGACCAGAATTGAACCTGGGACCCTTCAGACCACAGGTTAATGCTCTATCCACTGAGCCAAACCAGCTAGGGCGTTGAGCTCACATATTATCATGGCTATTTATAGATGAAAAATCCTTGGCTTAGGAAAGCTAAAACATTAGTCTAAGGTCAAACAAAGGTAAATGTAAGCTTTAGAGTATTCAGCTATCCATTCTCTTAAATACTAGGTTTTATAAAACACACACACACACACACACACAGAACAAATATGATGTTTCCCTACACTTTTAGGCTCTGAGCAGCAATTTCCTCATCTATAAAATTTGAGTGCTATCAAATACTAGCAATCTAATTGAGAAACAGGTAAAGAAATAAAATAATGTGATGAATTCAATGTAAAAGCATTTATAATTAGTGATGAGGACAAACACTGATGAGGCAATGTTGGGCCACCTGGAAAGGCAGCGGTGGAAGTGGAGGTGGGGTTCTAAGAGAGGACATCTGAGCTGTATTTTTAAAGATTAGTAGGAATTTCTCAGGCACAGAAAGAAGACTAAGTTAGGAAAAGTGAATATTAAAGACTTGATATAACATTTTGTGGGGATGAAAACCAGTGGTATGCCAGAGCTGGAAATACTGTTTTATAAGAACCAACTGTTACATTTTCAAGAATTTTTCAAGCCAGTTGACTTCATGTAAGTCACTTAAAATGGGTCACAGTGGGAGTATTTATACTACAAATATCAGCAAATGCTACAGATCAAGCCCCTGACACCTAAAGACTGGTACTTAAACATTTACAGGCATACCGCTGGAGGAAAGTAAAAGCCAACTTGTCAATTGTCATAAATTTTTCAAAATATGAAGCATCAAGTACAAAGAGGAAAGTAAATAGATAATAGGTATGTGGGTTCTTCAAAAGTATGTCTTAAAAGGCTTCTTATCAAGAGCTAAGATATTTGTATTTAATTGAACATTAAATAATTTTAAATGAAGGAAAACAGACTCACATAGCAAGGTAACATTTCAAATATTGATTGGCACACATTCCTTTTACTTTCTTGGTGTTAACCTTTCCTATATTCAATCAAAGGTATCTTTTACTTCTGGGGGAGATGGGGAAGGATAATTTTGATAGGAATACAAAATCAAAGAAAGGGCTTATGGTATCTTATGGAATAACTAGAGGCCCGGTGCATGAGATTCGTGCACTTGGGGGAGGGGAGAAGTGGGAGTCCCTCAGCACGGCAGTTGGACATCCTTAGCGCTGCCGCAGAGGCAGGAGAGGCTCCTGACACCTCCACTGCACTCCACTGAACTTGCCAGCCATGAGCCCGGCTTCTGGCTGAGCAGCGCTCCCACTGTGGGGGCGCACTGACCATCAAGGGGCAGCTCCTCTGTTGAGCATCTACTCCCTGGTGGTCAGTGCGTGTCGTAGTGACCAGTCGTTCTGCCGTTTGGTCCATTTGCATATTAGCCTTTTATTATATAGGATGAGCTATAGACAGAGTTTGGTAATGTATCCAAAAAAAGAAAAGAAGTATTAAAATGATTCAAAGTTTCTGACTTGGGAAAATATGTAGATAAGGGAGCCACCAACAGAAAAATGGATTACAGAAGGCGATGTGAAAGGGGAAAATAACACATGTGACCATTTTGATGAACAAATCATACTGAGACTTCTATACTGATATCCTACATGAAGCCATGGGGAGCTAGTGTGTCTTTCAAAAGTCACAATAATATAAGAGAATCCTTTGGTCCAGTAGTATTTTGAAATCTATTCAGATCATATTATTTCCTTCCAAATGAAAATGGCAATGTATACTTCATTACCACTACTCCTTCCAATGGGACCTTCTGGGGGCTTTGAATCAAGGCACACTGGGAAGAACCTCCCTTGAAAATATCCCACCTAATACAGAATGTACTCACTGCACAACACGCAGGTAGGGAGAGAGGGACACTTTTCAGAAATTTCTATTGACTGAGATGCCCCATCCCCAAGTCCTAACTCCAGTACCTCAGATGTGTCTGTACATGAAGATGAAGTCCTTAAAGAATGAATTAAGTTAAAATGAGGTCACTAGAGTGGGCCCTCATCTAATATGACTGGTGTCCTTATTTGAAGACACGAGGGCACAGAGAGGGAAGGCTATAGAGAGAAGGCAACCTTCTACAAACCAAGCACAGAGGCCCAGAAGAAACCAACCCTGCTGGCACCTGATTTTGGACTTTCCAGCCTCATAAGTGTGAGAAAAGTAATGCCAACTAAACACCTAGTCTGTGGTCATTTGTTAAGGCAGCACTAGCAAACTAATACAGAAACTTAAAGCTTTTCGATTTGTGTATGTTTTTAGAAAGAATTTCAATTTCCAAGGTGGACTTTCTGCTTCCTTTTATTAAGAAGGTCTCACAGTATGCAGTTCTCTGTCTACAACTGAAGTGGTGGTTTGTTTCTTCCCATTTACCAACTTTCATTCTCTGTTGCTCATCTTCCCCGAAATGGCCCATGCCATTAGACCAGTAGGATGAATAATAGGATTCCAACAGTACAAGCACTTGCATGGAGTGGCTGGGCTTATTCAAGTATTCTTTGGGAAAGGGCTCCTAATTATTGGAATTAGAAAGGGGATATGTTCTGTTGATTAGATATTTACTTGTTTTAGTGTTTGTTTGTTTGTTTTTCACTAACCAGCCTGCTCCTTAGTTAATAAAAAAAAGTAATCATAAAAGGTATCACACAGGACCCTGGTGTAATTTGATCCATGAGATTTCATTTTACTAGATTATTGAATCAGAATTAAATTGTGAATCGGAAATATCTGGGTCCTGAATGTTGCATCACATTATCATGACCTTAGTTTCTTGACTGCTTGGTTTCATGACTGCAGGGAAAAGCAGAATAATAAAACGTGATCTGCTCACACCCCAGAGTTGTGGTGACCCTTAGTGTAAGCAGAATCACCTTGTAATACACCAGGGTGGGGAACGTCCAGCCCACAGCTGTATGAGGCCCAAGAAAGCATTTTTAGTCTGGCCCTGCCAAGGCATTAGGGGTGAGTTAATTAAATGTTTGACCAAATACAGCAGGCTAATTTTTAAGTTGATAATTTAGAATGGTCTGCAAATGATGTTATAAATATATGAATGGACCTTGGCAAGAAAAAGGTTCCCCACCCCTATATCTAAAACCCCTAACGAAGATTCTTGTCTGCAGCCAGAAATGGGGATGGACCCTTTCAGAGAAGGTGGTGCACCTTTTTAATAAAACAAACATATTCTGTTGATTTATCTTTTCAAGAGATACTACAGTAATTGTACCTACTTGACATTTACAGAGTTCGTTGTCATTTATAAATTACTTTTCAAGTATTCAATTGTAAAGGAAATTGTGAAACTAAAAATTATTCTAGTAATTCTTACTTCCTCTAGAAATGTAAGGAAATCTTTTTACTTACAAAATAAGGACAGGGGCTGTTATAAGAAAAAAATCACCAGAAAAGTACCCTCACTTCACTAACACTTCAATTACTACTTTAAAATTTTGTTAAATATCTCAAACATTCAGAAAAGAAGAGTAATATAATAAATAATCTCATTCCTTATTAGAAAAAGCCAACATCTACTTCAGATTTCATTAAATAAATAAATAATTACAAATTTAGGTTAAATTTCCTGTGTTCTTTGCAATCTCAATTCCACCTATTTCCCCAGACACAGCCACTGTCCTAAAATTGATTTATATTATTCTCTACCATGTTTTTATACTTATAACTAATATGTATATGTTCATAAATAGCATGCAGCACTCGTTGTTTCATATGTTTTTAAAACCTTTGCTTAAATGTTGTTGTATTATACATACTAGTGACCTGGTGCATGAAATTTGTGCACATTAAAAGGATTAGAGGAAATATTTTAATATTGCTATTTGCCCTTTCTCTATAATAGAAGTGTCAGAGATGAAAGAAAATTAGAAAATGTATATGAAAATCTTCCTCCGTCTTGAGGTCCCCCATCAAGCCCTGCCAAGTGGGGGGCATGACCTGATGTCCCCTGGCCTGGCACCAGGGCAGGGGGAGCAGCCTGAGGTCCTGTGTCAAGCCCCACGGCAGAGGGAACAGCTTCAGGTCCCTGCTGATTGCTCGTTAAGACTCATTACAGGAACTCGGCCTCCGCTGTGGGTACAGCCATCTTGTGTTACAGAAACCACCCCACCCCCCCGCCTCCACTGTGGGCGCCAACACCTTTGTGGTGCAGTGATGGTCAATTTGCATAGTCCATCTTTATTATATAGTATGATTCTGGAAATTGTTTCCCTCACTTAATATTCTGACTTCTAAATCTACCTATCTATATAAAACCCTAATATGCAAATCGACTGAACTGCGGAACAACCCAGGGAATAACCGGTCACTATGATGCACACTGACCACCAGGGGGCAGACACTCAATGCAGCAGCTGCCCCCAGCCTGCAGGCCCCGACCAGCATCGGCG